ATCTTTACCTATTCAACAAGCCATGATAAGATGACATAGTAGAAAAGCGCATTTTTTATTAGTTTGATGACAAATACTATCAAGTTTGATGTTTATCCAACTTGACAAATCAGAGTAATTCAGATTCAAAAAAAAAAAACCTTAATTAGTAAATGGATTGAGGCAGAACCAAGGAGATGAACCTCATTCAACTCAAAGCATCAGTATAATTAACATCTCTATCAAATTAGAAGCATTATCTCTTTAATAAATCTATTAAGCACAAAGTTAAGATCGATGGAGCTTGTCTTCTTCATCATGCATGATAAAGCACAAAGCGCATGAATGAAAGTGTTATCGTACAATTTTTATAAAGGTCTAGGCTAAACTAAGGGAATATAATTGTCAACAAAAGTCTATCATGCAAAAAGCTTTGAATTATTGATCATATGTTATCAACCATACAAAAGTCTTGAAGGTTGGGTCACTGATATGCATCCTTCATCAAGCTTGTGAAAGCATGAAGCTAAGGTAGAAGATATGTCTACGCTTGATAAATTGAGAAGTTAAATCAGGCAACCTCCTTCTTCACACCCATTAAGGTTGGATGCTAGAGGTAAAAGTATATATTCAAATCCTGACAAGTCAAGAAATATAAATTAGATACTTTATAAGTCAGATAAGGTGAATCAACACATCCAAATAAAACAAAGCATCGAATCAATAACTTATATTGGGTCAACTAGTTTATAACAAACATGATTTGCTATTGAGCATAAATTATATTTTTTTGGGGGCATTTGTTGACCGTAGACCACTAACCATCGGCTCCCACTACCCCCACTCAAGCATGATCTCACAATAGCACCACTAATGGAACAAAACCACCACATTTGTTTGTCACCCTCATATGCATGTAAGGAAGCCAAAGCTCCAATCAATCTTTGTTTGCTCGCTTGACATCTTCTCATACACATGTATATGACCGGCTTAATGACCTCCCTCTTTTTATCCAGCGTGCACAAGTAAAACCTAGTCATGACCTTCATCCGACCCAACTGACTACAACCCAACCTCACCAACTATCTAATTTGACCCAAACTCCCACTATATCATGCATTATCCATCAACTTTGATCCAACCTTTAACTTTGAATCCATGTTGCAACTTGACTTATATATATATATATATATATATAAATATCAACATTGTAGGTCTAACAAATAAAAAAAGAAGGTTGCTTTCCACCTGAGCAACATCATCTCTAGAACACTTAACTTAAATCAATTCATTGGGCTTCTTTTTTTATGTTCAACATTCTGCATCATAAAGCATTGTAGGTCTAACCACCACCTTATAAAATTTCCCTTTAAGTTTGAGGGGGGCTTTTATATCACACAACAAGCCCAATGAATTCCTCCACTTCAACCATCCAACTTGAATTCTACTAATAATATCCCCATTTATTTCACAATCACTCTTAATAATGTGTATTTTTATTAATGACTTGATCACTAAAAATCACAATACCCTCACTAAAACAATTTTTTTACTAAAATTACACTCCATAAATTCAGTTTTAAATCTACTCAAATGAAAACCTTTAGACTAAAATGGTTTACCTACATAATTCAAGTTTACCTTCAACTCCCTCTCTACTTTCTAAAAATTACACTCCATAATGCATACACCAAGTTTCCTTCTCTTGCAAATGTATAGTGAGAACATCCAAACTAAAGGTCATGAGATAATACCTTCTCTTATCGGTGGCACTCGAGGCTGCTTTTGGCAAAAGTTGGAGAGGGTTCGATCAGGGCAGCACTCGGACGTGAGGAAGAACTGCTCGCCAGTTGGTCATCAGGGTAGCTCGCCGACTTGAGCAAAGAGAGAGAAAGAACAGCTCGATCTCGGGGCATCAGCACAGCTCTCGGACGCAAGAGAGTGAAAGCAATGGGCAGTTCTCCAATGCGAGAGAGAAAGAAATGATAACTCATTTTGCGGATTAATCAAAAATAGGGCTTTAACTGGTGCATTTCCTAGCATATTATTTGCCAGTTATACATCTGACAGATATTTCACCGATATTGATTCGTCGAGTTTAAGTAAGCCAGTGCAATATGCTCCAGTGATTCCGCCAATAATTACCCATGGAATATGTGCCGGACACCTAAGAAATTCCGGCAAAAAGCCGACAAACTTTGCGCCGGTATTTCTGTAGTGGATATTGTGCCGAAAAATGTGTCGTTAACTTACCAGCACATATTCCACCAATACGTGTGTCGGTGTTACTGGCGTAAAACATTCAGCCAAAAAGTCTGCCGATAATAGCGCATTTTTCTGTAGTGCTCTACATTGCAATACATCAAAAGTTACACGGTAAAAAGAATCCAAAATATTCATGGTTTTCCTTTTCTCAATTTCCAACATAATAAATTTCTGAATTGAAAGTCAAGGTAGGGTAGCAATATCCTACCTTGAGACAACCAATTTTCTCAACTAAGTTGACTAACAAAAATGACTCGGCAATTGCGAAACCCATATTTTTCCCTCTTACCTTTCCTCCCTCCCCACCTCTCTCTTCTTCTTCTTCTCTCTTCTTTCCTCCAATCAAACAAAGTGATGGAGTTTTTAGAAAATGTTTATATATAAGTTCTGAACTAGCATCACAATGCTGAAACTCCCAACTGCACAACACTGCCCTACTAACTTATTATAATATTTAAATGTAGACTAGTGATAGAGCGCTGCTAACTAGCATCACAATGCCCCCTCAAATTTTCATTATTTAAACTCTACCGTGTCGTAGCACCACAAAACTTGATATAACGGTGTAGTGCTCTACCCTACAACACTACAACATAACTCAAAATCTTTATTTTCTAGTTGAAAAATAAAGAGCATAGTGTCACAGTGCCGCTCTACCCAATGCCGCATCGCTCAAGAGAGTTTTTCCCGCACTTGTTATTCTCATTCTATTTCCATCCTAACATATATAAGACTTATAAAATAAGAGAAACATGATTAACATTTAAACAAAGATTTTCATTACCTTAAAATTAACTTATTAAAAAAAATTAAATTCTGGTACAGACATTCATTACATGTTAAGCTCTCTTGCACTAGACACCTTCTTTCCTTAATAGTATTATTTTGAAATAATCAAATATGTCCTTATTTCACTTTAACTGCCTTAAAAAGTTGTGTTTGTGCACTCGTGCCTTCTTTAATAGAGGAAACCTTCATTGCACTCCTCGTGCTGATCAACCTAACGAGGCTTGCCTCCTCATTCATTGTAATAGAGGCTCCTCATCCTCCCCCCATATGAAGATTCACATGTAATTAGCTTTTAAACCGGCGTAATCCCGCTCGAACCGCCCTTCAGCACCCTTTCCATCCTTCAAACAATCAAGTCACCACTACAAAAATGAATAAAGTGGCGAGTTATATTTTATTTATATTATAAATAAATGAAATCTAAAATCGTAAATATATTAAAGATTAAATTAATTAATATATATAATATAATTTATTTAAAATATTTAAAATCTAAGTTTATATTTTATTTAAAATATAAACTTAATAAAATTCAAAATAATTAAATTAATTTACAATGGTTTAATTTAATTTATATTTAAAATAATTACTAGGTTTAAAAGCTAAGTTTTTTTTAAATAAGAATAATTATTTTATTTATTTAGCAATAAATTATTAAACTTTTTTATTTATTTTATTTTAGCAATATTAGAAGGTGGAGTAACATCATCATCACGTCATCATTGCGAGATCAATGTAGTCTCCAAGACTACAATAATAACAGAGCAATATATTTACATTTATTTCTCTATTTGCACTTGGTAGCTACATTTAATTTCATTCACTTGCACTTTTTGCACTTGCATGTTAAAGAGTTGAGTAAATAAGTGAACTAAATTTATACTCATACATGACTTCATCAGTGTTTAGCAGGTGTACATTGAGTCATAATGAAGACACTTAACTTTAAGAGGTGTTCCTTCGGAGCACTAGTTTGGGACTGTTAGAGAGAGTTGTCCGATCAGATCAAAAGGTTCTACTCGCTTGAGCATACTAAGGAGTTCGCCTAGTACAGGGTGAATTAGAAATCCCTTGTTAAGAAAGCAAATCGCCACTTGTTGCCATCTTAGTCATTAGCTCTCCCCTAGAGCCTTCATCTTCAAGCTCGCAAAGCTTAGCTGTATGAAAGTACTCATTCAGACGACCCCACACATCATTCAACCATTATTGTTTGGCCTAAATCTTTCCATTCCTACTGCCTCCTTGCCTTTCCCTCGTTAGCCACATTAGGTGCTCGTGGATTCACTCGGAACCTACTCGCAGCATCTAGCTCGCCCAAGAATAGCTCGTCCAAGAGCATGTTGCTTCTTCTTTCTTTAGCTTGTCAGGGGACAACATGTGTCTATGTTAACATGTAATGTTGTTAGCTTGTAATTTTTAATTTCTCTCTTTATAATCAGTCATTCATATAACCTTTAAAATTCTATAAAAAAATAGTGTTGATGAACACTTTTTTGGGGAACTCAGAGTTATCTTTTACTAATAGCGGATACTTTATTTGCTGGAAATCTATAACTTTTAATTTTCTCTACTATCCACTCTCGCCATTTTAATGTACATGTCTCAAACCACTGGGCAGACCTTCTAGTAAAATCATATATCATCGATGGATAAATTCGAATTTTAACAGTGTACATATATATATATATACATATATATATATATATATATATTATAAAATGAATTTTAAACTTAATTATATTTATTTCGGTTTGGTTATCTTCATATATTGATTATAAGCGGGTTTATTTTACCCTGATCAGGTCGGTCTGCTTCTAGCTTTTGTCTAATGGAAGCGGCCCCCGATTCAAGATCCATCAACTTAAAATAATGACACAAGTTCATTTCGTTACTGTTATCAGCTAATCATTGGCACCGTTGCAATTTCTAATTTTCTTTAATATACTCTCTGAGTAGAGACAAATTCATAAAATTTAAAATAGAAAAAAAATAAAGAACTGTCGTTGTACTGAGGAGAGAAAGAAAGGAAACCTTGCTTCAGGCGAACCTACGTTAAGAAAAGAGAAGCCCTAACGAGGTTGCTTGTCTGTCGCTCATTCTACATCGTATCGTCTTGTCGTGCTTGCTTCCTTCTTTCCGAAGCTTGTTCCAACTTTGGAATCGCTGGAAGCAAAAGCGTGCTCGACCGGTGGTGTATTTGTCCGATCTGCTTCAGAACATCAGCTTTAGGCTAAGTTCAGCCATTTGTACTGGTGTTCGATTACCTCGATCAATGGGAGGCAGCTGTTTGGCTGCAATTTTGAGAAGGAATGTTGAAACCCTAGGCAAAACGGGAAAGTTGAGAAGGGGTTTCTTTTGGGCTTATCTGGTGGAGAGATGGTAGTTGGCATTGAATGTGGTTACAGTGTGTTCTTGCATTTGTTCAGCTGACCGCACCTTTGTCTTCGTGTAAATTTTATCGAAATGTTTGGCATTGTCTTATATTTTTTATTCCGTTTTCTATGTACTAGATTTATGGGGTTCTCAATACCTTCCATGAGAATGCGAGCGATTTGGTTTGTTTAATTTGAAGTTGGAAGATTTGTAACAGCGTTGAAGGTGGAAATGGTCATTCTTTTGATTTTAGCGGGAGCTCACCGTTTACTGCAAATGCAATGTATCAGTGGATTTGCTTTCGTGTTGTTTCTTGCATCGTGGAATGGCATTTTTTTATAACTGCAGGCTGCCAATAAAATGTGGAACAGTAATGTGAAGTCTGTTCTGAACGCGGGAATGCGGGCATCGGTATTTTCGGTTTATTTCCCCCATTAATTTGGTTCATGAAGAAAATGGTAATGTTTGGATTTATGTAAAGAAAGCAGGTTTTGGTGAACGATGGCGCCTTCACCAGCTCTGAGATGCTCACCAGGGTGGGAGCACATGGCAGAAAATGGTCACAAGAGTGGCCGAAGTTTTGAGAGTGTATTGACTTTTAGAAACAAGGATGATGATCTTGCACTGTTCAATGAAATTCAAAATCAAGAGAAAGATAACTTTCTTCTCCATACGGCTGATGATTTTGAGGAATCTATTTGTAATGCCCCATTTAGCCATCTTTTTGAACTGCTTGATTGCCACAGTTATTTGGTTTATGCTTAGTAATGAAATTATCTAAACACTTATACCATTTAATTTTCTCTCGAATTATCAGCAAAGTTGAGGCATTTCTCAGACTTCAAACTTGGCATCAACATTCCAACTAGAGGCGAGAGCAGTAATTTGCTTAATCAGGAAGGCGACAAAAATGACTATGATTGGTGAGTTATTCTAGCGGGGAATATTAGCTGTTTTTTTTCCTTGTTCTAATTATTGTATACATGAGTAACATTTTTGAGGGAACTTAACCTGTTGTTACTGCAGTTGCTTTAACAGGACATTCTACGATTACCCATCAAAGCTACCATATATATATTTTTTCCTTTTATCCTCAAAATTGGCCCGCTATTGTCCATATAACCGTCCTCATTATCTGATGTTAACACAACTTTTATATTCATGAACAGGCTATTAACCCCTCCTGATACACCCCTTTTTCCATCATTGGATGATGAGTATTCACAACCAATTAATCTTGTATCTAGAGGTAGGTCAAGAAGCCAATCGATTACTTCAAGATCATTGGTAGGTTTATCCATTTTTCCATTCATTTCTTCAACCTCGTGGTGGGATTTATCCACTATCTTCATTAACAGGGAGCTCTCATTTGTTATTTCTTGTAACAGACTGATAAGAGTAATCAGACAAGTCGAACTAGTTCTAGTCCAAACAGACTAAGTCCATCTCCTCGATCAAGTGGCAAATTAGCCCAAATGAGATGGAGGTCATCTTCAGTCCCACGATCTGGTGCATCTCCTGCCTTTAGGTCTACAACACCTACCCGAAGGTCATCTACTCCAAATGAACAATCCACACATACTCCAAGGTCCTCAATTCCTACATTACAAAGGCCTAGCACTGTTTTTAGTATTCATTCATCAAACTATGTTGGAAGAGGACCCTCTATAGTAAATGCAAGTCGGGGGAATTGTTCTTCACCAAAATTACCTGGGTGGAAAATGACCCTCCCTAGTTTCACCTTAGAGACACCTCCAAACCTATGCACTTCTTTATCAGATCTATCAGTGACGTATACAAAAGGTTCTTCTCCAACATCTGGAAATGCAAGGGAATCATCAAAGAAGCTTGGGAGGAAATCAATGTCACCAACTAGTTCAAGAAGCACTAGCTCGTCACATGGTCAAGAAAGAAACTGTTTCAGCTCTTATAGTAAGTGTTCTATGGTGTCCTCTGGTGATGATGATGATGAATCTCTGCACTTCATAAGAGTTGGAATCTCTAGAAGTACTCCTGCTAAAAAAGATGGAGCTCTGGAAAGCAACAAAATCATGTCATACTCTAGAAAACCATCCGGATATTCACCAACAAATTCCATACCCAAAAGGTCTTTTGATTCGGTCCTTAGATTAATGGTATCATCATTTCTCTTTCATTTTGAGATTTTTGGCTAATATATCAAGCGCATGAATCACTATGTTATTTTTTTTAAATTTTTTCTTATGCTTGACATCTTATTATTATTATTCTTATTTTTTTCTTTGCAGCATTATCTACACTTGCTTGCTAATTGAAACCTGATACTCTTTAAACCTCATAAAAAAGGGTTTATTTTTGTTATCTGCAAACCTTGAGGGGCCAATATTGCATAAATACGTCAGCATTAGTGAACGAAGTTGATTGAACTATTGATATGAAGAATATTAACTTTATTAGGACTAAATATCCATTGCTTTTTAAATATTCTATTACATACAATTACAGAATGCATTTATTCTATTTGAAAGTGAATGCCCGTTATCCTTGCGTACCACTAGAAGTCATATCAATGCTATCATTTTTCCATTAAATCATTAAATCTAGTGGTGTACTTGAGTTCAATAAATTTTTGATTGCTTGATTAACCATTAAATGTATAAGAAGTTTTTTGATGAACGGTTTTATTGCACGTTAAGAAATTTATGATTTTTACGTCATAGCTTTACGAAGTATTTTGAAATTTGATAAATGGGTTGCAATGATATTTAAAGCATATTTAGTGGCTTTGATTTATAAAAAATGGGTTGAATTGAGATTTTAAGTAGGTTTCTATATGTCTGCAATTCATCAGTTTTTTACAAGCTTATTGAATGATTTAATCTCCATTACAATTGATAAAAGTCCATAATCATTTTTTATGTTGTAGATGAATATCATTAGTTTGGCTTGGCATTACATTTTATGACCATATAATGTGTATATTTTGGAACAAATTTGGGAGGCAAATGCGCTCTACTTAGGAGGAAAGCTCGTATGTGTGTGTATTATATGTAGTGGTTGTTGATTTTAGTTCTTCAAATGATTGTCTTCCATATTTAATTAAAAAGAGGGTGATTGAACGTGTCAGTTTGCTTGGGTGGGTAATTGGACGTATGAACTTTTTTGGATGTGCGGCTTTTCTATTGTCGTAAAATAGTTCTTTTTGACTTATCTTTTATATTATGTAGAAAATTAAGAAATGATGAATGGGATTCAAAGGGCGTCGGTTGGATAAGGAGGAAAAGAAATTTTTCATTGCATGGAGATTATTTCTCTTGAATGAAATGTATGAATGACTTTCACTATTAATTGGAATATACTGTTTAATTTGAGTTTCAAAAATTGATATTAGTTTTTGCAAGTTATACAAAAATTTAAGTGTACAAGGACTCCAACTATCATATAAATATTGTGTTGCTGCTTTTGATTAATAACAATTCTAGAAAATATATTTCTCTCTTAATTTACATGGTATTAAAGCCCCATGATTTGGCTAAAAAATCTGGAGTTGCCCAAGGGTTCACGATTGGTATATATTGACTAGATCATGCACAGACATCCACCGTTTTGATGGAATCTAATAATATGGGTGATATAATCAAGATCTATCACAACTAACAACATTATTAACTCTCATTTTGCTGTAATCATAATAAAAAAATGCCTTACCTATCATGGTCGACAGTGATCAAGACCTCTCCAACTCCTTCCAAATAACCATTCACAAATTGAATGTTTTGTGTGGCCTCAAACAGTTAAAATTATACATTTATTGAAGGGAAATGTTAGGCTACTTGATTGATGCAGTAAAAATAACCAACTATGAACGATCGAATATTCAGGGCATGGAAGTTAGAGAACTCCTAAGCAATTGCTTGGCCCCTAAATTTGTTGGAGGGAAGTATTACAAAAACCTATATGTTCCATCAAATCTCAAGGGATGGTTGAATGTTGTTATTCAGATGTAGAGAACTGCTAAAATTTTGAATTAAAATCAAGGATTTTGACAATCTAAACAAGGAGAGCAAGAAGTTACAAGCTATTACAATAAGATGGTAAAATTGTGAAAAAAATTGGATCAATGTTATGGAGATGTGTGGGAGAACCCGATTTGTGCAAGGTTAAAAAGAGAGAATGGCTATATTTACATTTTCCTTGCCTAAATAAATTGCAATCTAGATGAAGTGAATGGAAGAAGCTTAGGTGGAAAACATTTCTGATCCATGCGTAGGTTCGTTTCTAATGAAACTTGAAGAGTGTAGAAAGAAAATAATGATTTAAAAAACAACAACCAAGATGTGTTCTGAGATTAAATTTTTGTCATGTTCTCTTGATTAGATGTTGAGGGATCAACAAAGAAAAAAATCATGGTGCAAACTCAACGAAAACCATGGCATGTAAGGATACTCGTTGGAAAATTCATAGAATGCCAGCACACTAGAAGAAGAGACCCTATGGCAAGGTGCTTCAAACCACCACTGAAGTTTCCCATGGGCAATCGATTGAGTCTAAAACATCTCCTTCATAAAGGAGCAAATAATGCACCTTCAAAAATTCTTTAAATCTCCACAATTCTCCTTCACACTCGTTATTCATTAGTACAACAAGATAATAAAATTATTTTTTCTCCATAAAAAATAAGCCGCAAGACTTAGATCATTCTTATGCAGCAACTAATCACATGACAAGTTGCTCACATTTATTTCTTATGCACCTTTTGCTGGCAAAAAAATATTGAAGTTGTTAATGGGCCCTTCTTGGTTATAGCCGGGATTAGTTCAATTCAAATTTCTCCCATGCCAAATTTTCATAATGCTCTTTATGTCCCAAATTTATCATTGCCCCTTTTATCCATTAATAAAATAACTCTTGATCTCAATTGCCATGCTAATTTCTATCATTTCTATTATGAGCCATAGGAACTAGCTCAGAGAAGATTTTTGACAATGCTAAGGAGGATAAAAGACTTTCTTTAAAGATAGAATAATTTTGTGACATTATAGGCTTTGCTACCCTTTTTTGTTGCATTTAAAATAGTTATTCTCTAATATATTCTACAATAAAGTCCCATCTTTCTTAAGCTGTGAAATTTGCCCTTTGTTAACTGAACATCATGTTTCAAAATCCTCCTAACCTTATAAACCATGAAATCTATTTTTTTTATTCACAACAATTGATGGGGTCCTTTTAATGGTTTCAACTCATGCTTAAAAAAAAAAGATTTGTACTGTGTTTCTAAGGTTAGTTGAAACATCTGACCAGGTCAAAGATGCTAAGTTCATATTTGGATTATTAGATAGCATTGTTGAAGAGGTTGGAGAACATTTGGTTGTACAAGTTGTGACATATAATGCAAGTTTTTATAAGACTGCATGTAACAAACTTATGGAGAAAAGGAAACATCTGTACTGTATTTCATGTGCTGCACATTGCATAGATCTGATTCTTGAGAAGCTTGAGGAGCTAACTCAACATAAGAATGCACTTACTAAAAAAAAAATCAAGTTTATCTACTACAAAGAGGAGAAATCGCTTGTCGACCTTGAGGATGAATTCATTGGTGTACATTATGTACATAGGAGACTCAGAGATATGAATTTAAAGAAAAAGGATTAATGAATGATGAAGATCCTTTTCTTTGCGAGGATGTGACATCTGTTAATGAGCGATTTTTAGATGATGAAGTTGAAGTGATGCAGTCTGAATTACAAGATGAAGATTTAAATGTTAATTTTTTTGATGGTCTTAAAACGTATACAGCCACCACAACTCAAGAACAAATCAAAAAAGATATATAAATAACATAGTTTTTTTAGACTTTTATTAATGTATTACACTATTATTCATTTTGATATTGTTTAAAAATATTTAGGGAAGAGGAAGATAACTGACATTGGGAAGAAGGACCTGATTGGGAGACATTAGACTTTATAGGAGAGGAGAAAGGGGAGAGAGTAGTTCATCATAATGATGATTCAAATGAAGACCCCCTTAGTGATGACAGTGTTGATGACTTATGAGTTCTTATGTGATATGTCATTGCTATTTATTTTTGGAATTATTTTGTTAATGAAAAGAATACTATGATTTGGGAAAGATGGAGTTTGAGTTGAATTATATTTAATGTTGTCTTATTATTGGGATATTTTGATTTCACTCCATATCTTGTGTATTTTTATGTTTTATATATTATTTACTCATTAGTATATATAAAATTTATCATTTTATGTTTACGCAATCTTTTGATTTTGAGGCTTACGCCTCAAAATGCCTTGAGGCGTACGCCTTAATACCCGATTACACAATTTTAAACATTGTTTACAACTACTCTAAAGATAGCCTAATAGGCAACTGCCAGCTAAAACAGGGTAAATCCTAACTAAATTAATGCACACAATCTCCAAAGTGGAGCTACAAACACTCCCAAGGGAAGTTATAAATCTTTCAAAGGGGAGTTATAAATCCTCCTAAAGGGAGTAACAAATCCTCCCAAGGGGAGTAAGCAAACTCAACGACAACTTCCAAGGAAAGCCGTAAGACCTGTTGCTCAGGCTACTTCTAATAGAAGTAGTAAGACCTACTCAAATGCAGAATTATATGTCTTCTAGCAAAACCCCACTAAACTAGATCCTTGCTTACCCATGTTTAGCCGACAACTTCTAATAGACGACGTAAATTTGATTTCAATTAACACTTTAGGGGAAAACTCTAGGTAAAAGTGACTTAAACTCAAACCCAAACATTTAGGCTACTTCTAAAAGAAGCCGTAAGACCCACTACACGGGCTACTTTCAGTGAAAGCCGTAAGCCCTGATCCCAAATCTAAACCCACGGTCTACTTCTAATAGAAGCCGTAAGATGAGACACTTCTAAGTAAAGCTGTAAGACCCGCATGTTAAGGAAACTTCTTAGCAAATAACCTCAAAACTAAACCTACGGGCTACTTCTAAACGAAGCCATAAGATCTTTTAAATGGGTGACTTACAATGAAAGCTGTAAGCTTCGACCCAAATCCAAACATAAGGGCAACTCCTTTACGGAGCTGCAAGACCCAACATAAATTTAAACTGTGGGCAACTCCCAAGCGGAGCCACAAGTCCCAACCCAAATAAAATAACCTACTTTTATCCACTTCAATTTACTTGGGATCCCTCAGAGGAGACAACCCATGGATGCTAATCAGATTCCTTGTATACTATAATCAACATTTGTTAGTGTTGGTAGACTAAACCTACGATATACCCCGGACAATGGAACCATGAGATCTTGATCAGGTTTACCGTCATCCCTCACAACCAAAATTAAAATTGTTGCATGTGTAAAAATTGATTCATCCTTAATCAAGAATTATCTTTTATGCGTTAGGAGGGGTAATTAACTATGAGGGCTTGCGCTTATAGGAAGTGGAATCTCAAAACTAAATAAACCTTGATGCTAATCATCAGTGGAAATCTGGTTAATTAAAAATCTAATCTACCTCTATGAAAATGAGACCTATAAGCTTGTTAAAGCGGGGTTCGTGTCGTAGCACTGTCTTTTCCTGAGTGAACACGATCTTGTTTGGTTTAAATTAGTACTCACAAAAGGAGGCTACGGAATATATTAAATCATATTTTTGCTTAAAATGGGTGTGTCTGCGACTGTGTGTGCATGCGGGCATTTGTGGGTTTGTTTGTGTATGTTTACTTGTGCATGTGTGTGTGGGGCTAAGCTTGCTAGTCCTTTGCGCTTTCTAGTATTGGATTGGTACAATTTTTGTCGAAGCTCTATATTACTTTTTTTTTTGAAGCTGCTAAAGCTAGTTGTTTTCGAGAACATTATATGAAAATTATGATGAATCTAAACTTACATTACATTGATTATGTGCCAACCTTATCTATTAACTTTGGTGATGTGAAGTTATAAATAGTGGTATGAATCATAAAATTTTTAACTTAAAACTTGAATCAAATTTATTTTCTAGTTTTCAATCTTGTCAGTACAAGTTGAATATATTATTCATTCTAGCTCGACTGTAAGTACAACCACTTGATTATGTGGGAAGTCATCTCTTTGTATTAGTGTGTGGCCTAGCTTTTTTTTTTTAACTTTAATTTCGTTTCTTGTCTATTTCTTCTGTAGAGTTTGTTATTGTCTTGTTTAGTGCTATTGATTTTGGTGAAAAATTGATATATACAAAAATCTGTTTGTGTAAAAATTTATTCGTTTGCTCATTCATTTTCTTCTTTTCAAATTCCTACTGACATTCTTGGATATTTATAATTGTTTTAATCATAATCAGTTGAGCTATTGTATTGATTTGTAACTATTAATATTATGAATTCTAATTTTTCTTGGCAGGAAAGCATGCTACCCATCATATTAGTTGCAATAGGAAACACTAACCTGGAGTTATCTTGAATTAGTTGTGCCATTTAAAGTTGTGGAGCGCATTTGAAATGCCAATGCGAGTTTTGACAAGTCTAACCTTGCATTGTAGATGGCCTATTTTTTATGCAATTCTTTGACCTTTCTGTCACAATTGAGGCCACAAATCTTTTCAACTGGGTTTGCCCATTTGGATGTGTATTTTTAATTATAGATTATATAGATTCTGTGGCATTGTTATGCACAATTTTACCAGGGTTTCCCTTTTAAATTTGTTTTTAATTTTATTTTTATAAAATTATAGATGTTATGCACAACCAAATTATCCAATTAAGTGGCATTAGTTTGGTGGTACAGATTGTCAATATAATTGGATGAGATTGATATGATGTCGGACTTCAGGGAGGAGATCGAAATTCAACATTATTTAGATGTATGAAAATGCTTTAGTGAAGTAGAACATACTTAATGCTTCTCTTTACCGCAATGTTGGATTCCTAAAATTGGCTAATTTGGTTCTTTTCACGTTTTCAAAGTTGTTGAGTTTTTTTTTTTTTTTTTAAGTTTTGATGGATGGAAAACCAACCCTAATGCATTCATTCCTACTTTCAATGCTGTTTTCTTTTATTTCAAGAAATCAATACTACGTATAATTGCTTTTATCTTTATATTTATCTTTCTTTCGATGGTCTTTTTTCTTACCTATACAGGCCCAGCACAAAACACCTCATAATATGTTCAGGCCTCTTTTGTCAAGTGCCCCTGCAACCACTGTCCGGCCCATTTTCTCAAGGAACTCTTCACTTACCACTAGTAGTAATGCAAGCTCAGAACAGGGTCTTTTAAGTGTTGCACTTGATGTGGAAGGAAGTGAGCTTGAACCAACGGAACTACATGCTGGATGGGAAAGGACTGAAGACTCTGAAACCCAAGAGGAAATATTTCTGTTTGATAAGGTGGATGAGATTATTGAAGATACAAATCATGCTGTACTTTCTAGAAGGCCTCCGAGACGGGATGAGATGTTTGATGAAATTTTGTCAAAGAAATTTGATTCGGAAGATATCCACAAACTGGTGTTTCAAGATGTTGAAACAAGTAACACCAATCTAGACTCAACACATTTTATTGACAACCATTGTGATAAGGATGGCCATATAATGTCCGCTATTTGCTCCAAATGTAGTAAAGAATTCAAGGTTTTAGATTTGGATGAATTAGTAAATTTATGCCAAGAATGTGCTGAAGATGATAGGCTTTGTACAACTGGAAGAGCTCTAACCTGTGTGCCGTTGACTCAAAATGATACTTTTCTGTTGGATTTGGCAGTAGACACAGCTGGCAAAGGACCACTCAACTGTAAAGTTCCTGAATTTCATCACGCGGGTGAACTAATGGGGACTGATTGCTTGCCAAACATCTGTTCTATACAGTTGTTGAATCAAAGGGAGTCTGAGCTTTCCAATCAGCATTTTGACAGAAAAAGGGATACAAATGTTCCACCGGATGTCAGCATTAATGCACCACAACTGTCAAACCAGGCTGTTAATCCCAGTTTAAAAGTTGATATTCCTGAAGGCACAGGTATTTCAGTGCTTCTATTGCATGGATCTGGCAGTAGTAAGTGGCCAATTTTACAAGGAAAGACTGTGTCTGCTACAAATGTTCTTTGTTTTGAGCCTTCTTATTCTAGAGATAATATTAATTACTTTCAAAGAAGCATTGGGCGAGACATTGCTTCAGCATCTTCTGCGGTTGCTCTGGGGTCATCCAAGCAGACAGAGAATTCCATTCACCACCAGTTAAGTAGGGAAGGAGGGGCAGACAACATGAGAAATGATACTGATGGCAATTCTCATAGTAAGAGCTTACCTGTCGATTTTCCAATGAATTGCTGTCAATCTGGGCACCTCAAAAGTGAGAGTGAGCAAACATTAAGTAGTTCTACAGAATGTTTAGGATACGAATCATTGAGAGAAATAATACTTGTTACTGAAGAACATGAGGACTCTTTTGATCAATCAAATTTTAATGACATGCCTTCTTCATCTACAAGGCCAGTCATTTTTGAGAATTTCATATCCAAACATACCGATTGTTGCATGACATTAACCTCCTATGATTCACAAAATTTGAACGATCTAGGAAATAGTGATTTACCTTGCTCTTCAGCAGCAGCACAAGTAATGTGTAATGAAGATGGCACTTCATCCATTCATGCTGATGAATACCCTCAAAACAATGGAAGGAATCTCAGAAATATAGGAGGAACTGATATTCGTGGTTGCTCTGTGACGGAGGAAGATTATACTTCTCAAAATGGTAACTTGGATGCAGCTACTAAAAGATTCTTCATTCTGACTACTGAATTACCACATGTTTCCAGTGAGCTTGAGGACTACCATACCGAGTGTATTCCCTCCCATAATCCAGCATATACAGAACAGTCCAATGGACATTCTGTCTCCCAAATATCAGAGACTGAAAAATCCTTTTCTACCTCAGAACCATGCAAAGCTTTCCACGAACATGGAAACCATGGTATGCATCATTTAACCTTCTGGGCCAATTAGCTGATTTACCATTTCTTAAAATTTTGACTTAGGTTTTGTTTTTTACTGCAATGCTTAGTAGTTTTCTAGATACAGTTCTGACGAATGTTATCTTCAGTTTCGCAATTTAATCATACGCTAACTTTTCAGCTGGTTGTTTACATGGATATGTTGATATGCCTATAAGTGCGCTCACGAATAATCAAAATTTTCCTTTTCATGCTTTCTAAAAGTTGTATAATTTAACATAAAATAATATTAATAAATCAAACTACTAAAATGAAAAGAAATTCTAAAATGTTAAAAAAGAACTTCAACTTAATTTATTTTTCTGCATCAATTCCCTTATGTTGCGAGAACTCTACTTCCAAGAGTTGAAATGTTGTTGAAGAATTGAAGGTTATTGATTGTATTGTGGATCTGGCGAATTCCATCTCTAATAGGATATATGAATGTGAAACCCTTCATGAAGAAGATGGTGAAGAAAAGAGAAACTGCCCATAGAGAGGAAGAGATGAAGCAAGTGAACATCACCATCATCCACAATGTCAATAAAAGACTTGTCTTAGATCCTTAAGTTCATATTCAAACTTTGAAAATACATCTAAAAGCATTTTGTTAGGCCGGAATAGAGAAACTATTCCCTTGTAGGGCCGGTTCTCTGCTACAGGAGACGTTTTTTATTGTTTCGTTGGAATTGTTGAATTTTTCTCACTGTTTTTATCAATCTTACAATCTTGTTAGGGTTTACTTGAAATATACAAGTATTTCCTATCACATTTAGCGATGTTCATATACACAACTAAACTTTACTTTTATATGATTTGATTCATGGCTAACTGAATGAAGCTAACATTTGTTGACCCGTCTGCTGTAACAAAAAAAAAAAAAAAATCCCGCTTA